TCTAGAAGACTGCTCCAGGCTTTTTCTGCAGAAAAATCAGAGTGAGTCCTGTTGCTTCCTGGACAGGTGAGGAGGGGATGGGGGCTAGGTACTCACCTTGATTTTGCCCTCCTTGGCAGCCAGCTTCAGGGGCGTGAGGCCCTGCAGGTTGGGGATGTCCTCGAGCTGCACTGTGGGGCAGAGACGGGCCCCCGCGAGGAGAAGCCCATCATACATGCGGATCACCAGTGCACTGTTCTCAGCTGAGTTGTCTGCGATCGTTACCAAGGCGTGCAGCACTGTGTTGCCCAGTGAGTCGGCTGCCTGCAGGCTGGCGGGCTGATGAGGGTTCTCCAAGAGGTAGGTTACCACGTCCCACTGCTTGGTGCATGCGGCCAGAGAGAGGGGCAGCTCGCCTGGGGGCCGGGGAGGAGGGCAGCTTGAACCTCAGGCCTCCCAGCTTCCACCTGCCTACTCTTCGTGCACCCCGGACAGAAGGCCAGGCCTCCTTCAAGAGAGTCAGGCACCCGCAGGAGAGGACAGAACGCTGCCTTGGGATCCCGGGCCCACCCAGGTCTGTGCTATGAGGGAAGATGGTCCCAGACCCCATGGAGGGCAGCTGTGCCTTTTCCACTCGTAAAGGCAGCCCTGTCCAGCTCTTGACCCAAGGGCGATGTGACCAAAGCTCTTTACCATCTAAAGGAGCAGACCATGTGGCCTAAGCTTTCGGCTCAGGTGTTGATCTCAGGGTCGTGAGATCGAGCCCCGAGTCGGGCTCCACATTCAGTGCAGAGTCTGCTTAAGACTCTCTCTCCCTGTTGTTTTGCCCCTCCCCTGCCATGCTCACTTGCTCTCTCTAAAATAAATAAATTTTTTAAAAAATAAAATAGGGGGGCGCCTAGGTGGCTCAGTCGTTAAGCGTCTGCCTTTTGCTCAGGTCAAGATCCCAGGGTCCTGGGATCGAGCCCCTGCATCGAGCTCCCTGCTCCACGGGAGGCCTGCTTCTCCCTCTCCCGCTCCCCCTGCTTGTGTTCCCTCTCTCGCTGTGTCTTTCTCTGTCAAATAAATAAATAAAATCTCAAAAAAAAAATAAAATAAAATAGGGGCGCCTGGGTGGCTCAGTCGCTAAGCGTCTGCCTTCGGCTCAAGTCATGATCCCGGGGTCCTGGGATCGAGCCCCGCATCGGGCTCCCTGCTCGGCGGGAAGCCTGCCTCTCCCTCTCCCGCTCCCCTTGCTTGTGTTCCCTCTCTCGTTGTGTCTCTCTCTGTCAAATAAATAAATAAATTCTTTAAAAAATAATAAAATAAAATAAAATAAAATGAAGGTCCTATCTGGTCAGGTTTCCCACACACAGTTCTGTCAGCCCCTTCCCCTCCCCCAGTCTGGATGTGGATGTGTAGGGAGCTTCCTTGCCCAGACAAGGCTAAAACATCTCCTAGGACAAACTGCTTTTGCAGGCAGCCCAGTGATTAGAAGCATGAGCCTTTGGGGTTGAACAGATCTGGGTTTAAGGGCCCAGCCCGGCCACACATTAACCATGTGACCTTGGGCACGGCCTTATCTCCTCCACCTCAATTTATCCAAGAAAGGCTCCTCACCAAAGTAGAAGCAAGTCCCCTGGCTCTTTTTCTGGAAGAAGTGGCCGCAGGCCCGGGCATGCACATTGGCCCCATTCTCCACCAAGAGTTTCACACACTGCAGGCTCCTTTTCTCGATAGCAATATGTAGGGCACTGTGGCCTCGGTAGTACTCATCCGTGCATTGGGCGTTGACCAGGGGCTGGGGATTGCCAGAGTCCCGGTCGATCTGAAGCAACGGCAGGATGCAGGCGTTGGCCCCATCCTGCAGGTTCAACAGGGCCTTCATCAGGCACGTCTTGCCCGTGGAGCCCTCTGTGGGAGAAGAGGAGGGGAAGGGGCAGCACGGTTCTCAGGCATGGAGTGGCTGGGCTGCCCACCAGGCTGCACAGTGAGCCCAGCCTCCAAAGTACCCTTTGGGAGGATAAAAAACAATTGTCACACACACGACTGGTGGAAGCAGAGTCATGCTGCAAGGTGGGAAGGCTCCAGCCAACAGGTATTAAAATACCAACAGGTATGACTCTAATATCTGCCCTAGAAAATAAGTTTCTAAGGCATAATTTGTTGTCCATGCAACATGGTCTACACCAGAACATTCAGAGCACACGTTTGCTAAGTGTCTCCACCCCTTAAAGGCTCTGTCTCCTCGGGCAGGTCACGTGGCCTCTCTTCACCTCAGTTTTCCTGACTGTAAAATGGGACTATTCCAGGCTTGTTCTAAGGGCCGAATGGGATTGTATACAAAACTGTTAGCACACAGAGGGCCTGGCACGCAGTATGTGCAGGCCAAAAATGACACACAACCTAAATGGTCATCATTAAGGAATTAGCTAACTAACTTGTGGTAAACGTACACAGCAAAAAACTCTGTGTTTGTCAAAGTGACTGACTTAGAGGTCTATGTACAGAGTGGAAAGTAGGAGATGTAGTATACGGCATGACCCTTTACATAAACATATATCTAAGATATTTAAACACTTTGAAAAGAGATTCGCCAAATCATTAACAGGGATCCAGGATGTCCTACTGTTTTTACCCTCAGCTTTAGACATGTCATTACTACCTGAATCTTCTAGAATACACAAATTAGAATACACAAATTAGGCCTCAGACGAGGTTATTTTTCTAATCAGCCCAAACGATCAGGATACTTCGATTTGGGGCAAAAAAATGTTCTGAGATGGGTGAAGTGTATGGTATGTGTACTACATCTCAACAATACTGTTAAGACAAAAAGAAAAAAGAAAAAGAAAACAATGCCCTGAGGAAGCCCGTGAGTATCCATTTGGCCACTGAAATGGGCTGAGGATGGCAGAGGTAGGTCAGGAGCCCGTGGGGCGGGTGGACGTGGGAGGCACAGGCTTGACCAAAGTGAGGCATTCAGGCCAGAGGGTTGCTGAGAAAACTCGGCCCTTGGCTCCTGACCACGGTCAAGGCCAACCCATCAGCCAAGTCTCAGCACAGCGGGCAGGACTGCAGTGGCTCTGGCCCACAGGGCAGGCCTACCTGTGTACTCTGAGTCGGTGAGGTACTTGCTGGTCCGGGACAGGTACTCCGGTAAGCCAGCCAGATCCTCGGGGACACCCCGGGCAACTGCGCTGAAGAGCCGATCACGGTCAAAGCGGTTTGGGTCCGGCTGGCTGTGGGGATGTGATTTGATTCTGATGTTATGGAAGAACCACGGGCGCCCCCCAGGAAGCCCCCCACCCCAGGGAGCCCTTTCAGTGAGTCCTGTGAGCAGTGTGCACCTTGCAGGCTCATGAGCCCCGTGGGAGCCTTTCTGAGCACCTCTGCCCCCCACCCCCGCCCAGGGCGGACCAAGCGCTTGCTCAGAGCCCCGGGAAAGGAAGGCGGGCCTGTCCAGGGCACTAGCCCCCAGCATCCCCATGACTCCAGGCAGAGCAGAGGGAGTCTGTGTCTCAGCATCATGTGCTTATCATTTGCTGGGTGGCTTGATAATCTCACAACAGGCTCCTGATCCCAGAGGGAGGATTTCAACACAGGAACTTGTCATGCTCTTGTGCTGGAATCTGGGTCGGGATGGGACACATATGCACACATATGTGCATAACTGGAGCTCATGTGGGGGGTGTCTAACTAACTCCAGACCCTGACTCCTAACCCCCAGGGAGATTCCAGGCTGGGCAGACAGAGGTTTCTCAGAGACACGGGGGCCTAGCGCTGAAACCTAGCAGATGCTCACCAGAGCTTGCCTGAAAAGCCACACTTCTGGGAGAGGCCTCAGACGAAGAGCCTGTAGCTGTATAGCATCTAGCAGTTTCTGGTGACAGGGAAGGGGAAGGAGCGTGGGATACCCCTCCTGGGGATGCCCCTATCCACAGAGGCCAGCCCACACCTGGGGCTCCTGAAACCATGGCCAGCAGATGTGAAGAGACAAACAAAGGTGGGGGGGGCTCTTCGATGCTCTGGGGGAGCCTCAGGTCCCAGCTTCACCAAGGAAGGCTTTGGTGACTCTCTCATGAGTGGGGGATGGTTGGGCTCAGTCATGTGTTAAGCTACAGCTGTATGACTGATGGAGGCAGGCCCTGCCTCCTCCATGCCAGGAAGCCACGTGTCTGCCGGGCCTGACCAGACACCCTCATCTGCCCAGCAGGCCACAGGGCCACGACATGACCGAGAGGGCCCTGCGGCTGACTAGGGCACCCTATGGGCAGTCCCGCCGGGGGAAGTGGCTGTTTGGAGAAAACACTTCCTGTCACAGGGTGGCATCCCCGTCTTGGGGTAGGGCAGCCCAGCGAGAGCACAGATTGGGGTGCGAGGGGGCAATTCTGCCTGTCTGGCAGGCTACCCGGCTCCCAGAAGCCTCGTGCGCATCCTCTCCTGGCCTGGTCTGAATCTGACCGTGGTCTTCCAACACCAACGATATGGGGTCTCCGGGCTGGGACGCCAAGGGCTGGTGCCACATCTCGGGCATGAGGGCGGAGGAAGGGGCTTTCCTGACAGAGTCCTGCCTTGCCCAGGAGGATTCGCCAGCCTCGTGCATCGGACTTCACACTGAGGGGGGAGGCCAGGCGAACCCCACACGTACCCGAGGGGGCACGGGGGCTGGGCCTAGGCCACCAAGTCTGACTCAAGGGCCCCACCCGCATTTGCTGCCTCACCTGACACCTGCTCTTTTGCGGTAGTTGAGGTTCACTTTGATCTGAGGGGAGGAGTCCCGGTCCTCCCCCTGGAACGGTGACTCCATGGGGGGTGGCCCATCCCCGAGGCCCGGCTTTCCTTTGTCCCTCTCACCACCATCTTCTTGGCCTCCATCCCATGTCTGGAGCCTGAACGCCAGAGGGCTGGAGGGCGAGGCCATCCTAAGGGGCGGAGGCCGCTCTGTCCAGCTCAAACCTGGCGGAGGCAGTGTTGTCAGAGGCTCTTCCTTCTTCCTAGCCCGCGGGCTGGGGTGGGAGGTCTGGCTGAGGCCTGCAAAAAGAGAAGTTTAGAAGCTGAGTACAAGTAGACCCACCCACCGAGTCAGCCCGACAGGACGCGGACTGAGCCGTGAGGGAGGCAGGCAGAGGGTGAGGAGAGAGGGAAGCCCCGGGAGTGAGGATGGAACAGGGGAGGAACAGGGACCCAACGGGTCTGCCTGTTGACGTAGTCCCACACGAAGGGTTGAGATTGTCCCCGACTTTCCCTCAGGACTTCCTGATTGCTGAGAGACCACAACCGCTGATGCAGGATCACAGACTTTTGAGTTCACAGCTCGAAACTTTCTCTGCCTCACCTCTTGTCCAGCTGCCGATATTCACAGCAGGTAAGAGTGCCGTTGAAGGCTAGAGGCGGGTCATTCACCCTCTTGCCGTAGAACAGGAGCATGCTGGGGGAAACGGTTGGAAAACCGGTCTATCAAACCTCTCATCTTGCTACCAGGACAGCTAAGGCCCAGAAAAGGGAAGTGACTGCCCAAGGTTGTCAGCTGTTGGCGGAGCCTGGTCTACAACCACAGCAACCTACCACGATGATCCTCTGCAGTTCTCAGTATCTTTCAGGGCCCATCCCTGTTTTCAGTCTGATTCATCTCTGAAAGCATCAGATGCTACCTCTCTCTGTGCTTTAGGGTGTCTGGGGGCTTCAGAGTGGGGGGGGGAGACCCCTGGCTGGCGGCCCAAGCTCCCCCTGACAGGCAGCCCCACCTCAGGCCCTGGCTGGGGCTCTGGGCTCTGACAGGGGGTAGTTAGGGGAAAGGCGCTGTGCCCCCAGCAGGTAGGAACAGAAAGAAGGAAGAAGAGTCAGCGATGGGTGGGGGGGGGAGGGGGGACACAGCAGGGTGGGAGAAGGGGGCAGGGAGCAGAGAAGAGCATGGGAAAGGGGGGGAGGGGGGACACAGCAGGGTGGGAGAAGGGGGCAGGGAGCAGAGAAGAGCATGGGAAAGGGAAAGAAGGGCCAGAAGTAGAGAGGCTGGGTGGTGGCAGGGCTTGGGCTGTGTCCCGAGGCTCGCACAGCCCTCAGGGACCTGGTGGGGGTGGGGGAAGGAGGCATTTTCCCACAAAAGCAGGGGAGGTCAGGACCTGGCTCACTTCTTCGACATGCAGGGTTTTTTTGTTTGTTTGTTTGGTTGGTTGGTTGGTTGGTTTTGGTTTTTCACTTCAGCATGAGCCACCATCCTTCTGCCCAATCTGGGGCGTCCTTCCCAAGCCACATACCGTTTAGCCTAGCGTGTGCCCCTAACCATCCCCCCATCCCCCCGATCTGCCTCCCCGGCTGCCCCCCAGCCCACCATTGCCAAGCGTCAGCAGCAACAGCTCCCTGTCCAGCCCCCCGGCCCCCTGTCCTGGAGCCCTGACCCGCACCGGCCTGGAGGAAGGGGTCTGGCCGTCCAGGTGGAGGCCGGAGCCCCTTGAAGACCCTGGCTCGGGGTGCTGGAGAAGCAGGGAGCCCCCGCCCTCGGGCTCCCCTGCCCTGATCAGTCACTGTCGGGCTCCGGGCCGCCCCCTCCCCAGACGTGCCCCGATCGCCCCCCACCCCGACTTACCCCGCAGGCCGAGGCTAGGGCGTGGCGGCGGCCGGGGGCCGCGGACCGCTGGGATCCCGGGCCTCCGGGACGGCGGGGGCTCCGGGAGGAAGTGAAGCCGGGAGGGCGGCGGACGCTGGCTGCCGGGAGCCGCAGAACCTCCCCGAGCCTGCTCTGAGCTCCGCCAGCGGGCTGCGGTCTCGGGGTGTTCCGCACCCTCAGCCCCCCCGGCCCGCCGGCATGGAGGGGAGTGGGGGGAACTCTCCCGGCTCGGGACAGGCTGGCCATGGGTGAGTGACCATCTGGACCACTGGCCACACCCTGCTGTCGGGAGACACGCCCCGCCTCCCCACCCCCACTGTCTAGCCAAGGAGGGCCCAGGTGGGGGTGGGGGCAATCAGAGGCAACCCTTGGGTGCTGGGACCTCGCCTCAGGTGGGAGCCGGGACGGAGTGTGTGTGTGTGTGTGTGTGTGTGGGGCGGGGGGGGGGGGTTCTTGCCCCACTGGGCTGACGTCTACCTTCTCCCGTGCCCCACCACGGGCCTTCCAGGAGACCCATCACAGGCGAGATAGAGCTAATATGGACGGGCCCCAGGGAGAGGAGAGACTCAGCCCAGCACACGACCCTGGGAATGCACGCCACCCAACCAACTAGCAGTTTGAGGGGATTTTCCCACCTCCCGGGGCTTTCCCCCCAACCCCCGAACCGGGGTGGGAGGGTGGGCGCCCGTCAGGGGCACGCTTCCTTTAGTGAAAGGCGCTTCCAGCACCAACCAGCAGGGGGGGACAGGGAGAAGGCTCCAGGTAATGCCGAAATCAAAACTGGCAGGGAGGGATTCCACACTGGGGCTTAAGGACTCAACCACCCACCAAGTAGACCTAGGGACACCTTCCTCTCCCTAGCTCCCTAAAATCCAATCCTCGCCCCAAACCTCCCAAATTATCTCTTTCTCCGTCCGGTCGAAACAACTACCTTCTCTCCCCTGGAAGACTGCAGCCACCCCCAAACTGGTCTCCCGGCTTCACATACACCCCACCCTCACCCTCATAACCCATTCTCCGTACAGCAACTGGAAGGATCTTTCGAAAGTGAAAACCAGATCACCCCACTCCCCTGCTTAACCCCACATCCTACCCCAACCGATCGCTTCCCTTGGGGCTTCGCAGAAAATGCAAATTCCATACCATAACCCTGTGCAGTGTAGATGCCTTTCTCCACCTTCATCTCTCAATACAACACTGTCTTGCTGGTTACACTCTAGACCTGCGCTGTCCAATCTGGTAGTCACTAACCACGGTGGCTATTTAAATGTAAATCAATTACAATAAAGTAAAATTAAACGTTCAGTTCTAACAGTCACAGTAGCCACATTTCGAATGCTCAATACTCACCTGTGGTTAGTGGCTACCATATTGGATGGCACAGATACAGAACTTCTCCATCATTGCAGATAATTCCATGGGACAGCATGGCTCTAGACATTGGAACACATTTCAATCTCTCCAGTATGCCATGCTCCCTTCCGTTGCCTCCAAGCCTTGCACAGTTGGTCCACTGCCAGGAAAAACCCTCCACACCACCACCCCCGCCCCCCCCAACACTGCCCTTGCTCTAGCCAACTCCTACTCATCTGTTGTCTCTCCGTTTAAACATCAGTTCCTCTGGGTGGCCTTTCCTAGACTCTGGACTGGGTTGGGGGTCCCTACTATGTACTCCCATGACACTTTGTACTTCTCTGATCATAACTCACTATTCATTATTGTTAACATTTATTTGTCTGGCTTCACCTTTAACAATAACAAATGCCTACTAAGCATTCAGCGCGGGCCAGATGTTGTGCCTAGTGCTTTACGTGCAACTCTTAGAACAATCTCATTTCACAGACTGGCAAACTGAGGCTGGGTGAGGTTAGGCACCTTGTCCAAAGACACATGGCTGGGGGGTGACAAAGCAAGGATTGAAATCCAGGGCCACAAGCTTATGCACCAAGCTCTACAAGGGGCAAGGTTTTGCCTTTTTTTTTTTTTTTTTTTGCCATATCCTCAGGACCCAGCAGCCTGCTTATGCTCAAGAAGACTTCCCCCTGCCCAAGAAGGCTTTTTTTTTTTTAAGATTTTATTTATTTATTTGACAGAGAGAAAGGGAGAGAGCAAGAGAGGGAACACAAGCAGGGGGAGTGGGAGAGGGAGAGGGAGAAGCAGGCTTCCCGCTGAGCAGGGAGCCTGATGTGGGGCTCGATCCCAGGACCCTGGGATCATGACCTGAGCCGAAGGCAGACGCTTAACGACTGAGCCACCCAGGCACCCCCCGCCCAAGAAGGCTTTGAATGATTGGGTGGCTAATCATAATGCAGAGGACATTACTGTGTTGTTGGGGAAAAATTGAAGAGTAAGTGGACACCCTCACATCCTCTGGAGGCATCACCACATCAGGTGACAATGACAACTGGGCAGGAAACCTCAATTGCAAACGCAGTTTATAAAAAGTTCTCAGATCATCAGCCATCAGGGAAAGGAAAATAAAAACCACAATGAGATACCACCTCACACCCACTGGGATGGCTCTAATCAAAAAGACAGATAATAACAAGTATTGGTAAGCATATGGAGAAATTGGAATGCTCACACACTGCTGATGGATCATAAAATGGTGTGGCCACTTTGGAAAACAGTCTAGCTGTTCCTCAAAAAATTAAACACATAGGGCGCCTGGCTGGCTCAGTTAGAAGAGCATGTGACTCTTAATCTCCGGGTTCTGAGTTCGAGCCCCACGTTGGGTGTAGAGATTATGAATAAATAAATAAATAAATAAATACATAGTTACCATATGACACAACTATCCCACTTATTTCCAAAGGAATGTAAATGTATGTCCACACAAACACTTGTACACAAATGTTTACAGCAGTGTTATTCATAATGGCCAAGTGGAAACAACCCAAACATCCATCAATTGACGAATGGATAAATAAAATGTGGTCTTTCCATACAATGGAATATTATTCAGCCATAAAAAGGAATGAAGCAGTTTCACATGCTACAAACATGGATACACCTCGAAAAAATGAGGCTAAGTGAAAGATGCCAGTCACAAAAGATCTCATATTGCATGATTCCATTTATGTGAAATGTCTAGAAGAGGGAAATCTATGGAGACAGGAGATAGATTAGTGGTTGCTGAGGGCAACAGGGCTCGGGGCATATGGGGAGTTAAAATGTACAGGACTTCTCTGGGGGGGGGGAAATGAAAATGTCCTAAATTTGACTGTGATGACAGTTGCACAACTCCGTAAATATCCTGAAGACCATTGAATTGTATACTTTAAATCGGTAAACTAGGGCGCCTGGGTGGCTCAGTTGGTTAAGCAACTGCCTTCGGCTCAGGTCATGATCCTTGAGTCCCTGGATCGAGTCCCGCATCAGGCTCCCTGCTTGGCAGGGAGTCTGCTTCTCCTTCTGACCCTCCCCCCTCTCATGTGCTCTCTCTCTCTCTCTCTCATTCTCTCTGTCTCAAATAAATAAATAAAATCTTAAAAAAAAAATAAATCTGTGAACTATACATAAATTCTATCTTAAAAAAAAAAAAGAAGTCCTCTGAGCAGGAAAGAATGGCTGAGTCCGCTTTCTCCCTCTAACCCTCCCCCCTCTCATGTGCTCTCTCTCTCACTCTCTCATTCTCTCCCTCAAATAAATAAATAAAATCTTAAAAAAAAAAAAAAGAATCAAGGATGGGGGACACCTCGCTGGCTCAGTCGGTCGAGCATGTGACTCTTGATCTCAGGATCCTGGGTTCAAGCCCCAGTTTGGGTGTAAAGCTTACTTAAAAAAAAAAAAAAGGATCAAGGATGGAAAGACAACTTCCTTTTTCAATGTGTATCCTTTATACTACTTGATTTTTTTTTTTTTTTTTTTTTTTTTTTTTTTT